AGCACATGGTGTCATCACCATCTTAACTTAGGGCAGTCAAGGCCAGTCACATGATTGGCAGCCATCTGGGCTATAAAACAAAACCCAAAACCTGTGGTTTCCCCCACTGCCAGCTGCTTTTACTACTTTGTTTCTGTCCCACTGTTTTCAGAGCTGCAAAACTGCAGTCTCTTGTAGGCCCTAAAAGGCCACTGTGCCACTTCCTACCTCCATTCTAAAGCTGCCTATCTGCCCCTATCCTTTCCCACAGGTGAGATTCCCTCTATGAGAACTCGGCTTGACTGCTGATAAAGCCCTGGCACCAGGCACTGAGGTTCTCAGACTTAGCCGGGCTAAGCCCCTGACCTGCCGTGCTATTTGGTTGATGAACCACTAGTGGCATGGTCCAGTTCCATTTCCCCTTTCTCATTCACAGGAATGGCTTCTTCATATTCTCTCCCCTTTGAGAAACCTATAGCTTCTACACCTATATTTGCCCTACTCAGATGCCAGATGCCTAATATCCAGTAACACTAAGAGCAATCAGTGAAGAAAAAGTGATTCCCTAGTTCTCTTTTCTCAAAGTCCCGTTTGTTTCTCTCTGCCTGCTATCCCACTAAATAAAAATACACTCTGGTTAATTTTTATACTCTCAAAAAATCTTAAAATTAAACTGTAAACCTTAATGTGACCATGTGGTATGGACAATTTTAATCATAATTAATTCTGTTTCTTTTATCTCTTTTTAGACTAGGACAGCAACAAGTCTTATTTTAAATTGTTGTGGATTTTTATACAAATTCAAAGCTATGTTTTAAGATATATATGATTCAACTCTGGTTCAAAATAATTTTTATATAATGCTAAACTTTCAAGGTTATAAAGGTCTATTCAAATTAAGCTAATTTAAAATGTATGTCTAACTGCCTATGTCTTTATCAATTCCTAAATTAATAAGTGCTGTTTCTCCCACCACGAGCTGCCTATCATCCAGAGTCGCCACTAGGCTTTCTGGCTAATAGGTTTGACATAATAAATTCAAATGTAATTTTAAAATTGCTTTATACTGTTCTACTATATTGTTGGTTTTAAAACTCATAAATCAGGGGTTACTACGTACAAGTTTTTACCAATATTCTAAATTAAGATCTATTAATGTTAGAGGCATTTATTTATGTTAAAACTTGGTCACTGTGCTATATCTTCACTATCAAAACATGCTTGGTCTTGTTTCCTAAAAATGGTAATATTATTAATCTATAGTACAGCCTTAGACTTTTATAAGCTATGAACTTTTTATATACTAAATCATACAGGAAACTGTTATGCTCTCACTTTATTATATTTATGACTTTTAAGGCTCCAACTTAACAGGGACAAAACCTAAAGTCCTAATATTTAATGGTTAACAAATGCAAGTTAATAGTCATCTCATAGATGATCAAGTCCTTTAACATGTTCAAAAATATATTTACAGTCCTAGAGATGCAGACATGGCCTCACTGCCATCTTTAATTAGCAGCTGAGGATGGTCTGAGTCACCATGCAGGAGCTGGTAAAAAGAATAAGAGAGGAATCTTCCTGTGATAGCCTTATCTACAGCAAAAACTGTGCTCCAGACCTTGGCTGTTGGCATCCCTCACAGAAAACAAGAGGTGTCTGCAATGCCCCATCTTGCTGGGGTAGAGCCGAAAGTCACCTCTGCCACGTGACTGTTGCAAATACAGCCAAAGGGGATGCTGCTCCCATGGCTGCCTCGACAAGCCACACACTCCCTGTCGGCAGACTGGCCTCTGGAAGACAAAATGCTCCCACGCAGGCTTGTCCTCCGTGCCCAGCCCTGGAGGCTCAACCAGCACAAGAGCCACAGACACTTCCAGCCTTTGAGCTCCTTGGCCTGGTGGAGGACAAATGGCTCCTAGATTTGGCAACCTCTCCCAGCCTTTCCAAGCCCAGATGACACTGCAGATCTGTCTTAACACCACACTTGAGTCCCATAGCTACACCGCCAACTTCTCTCTTGGGAGGCTTCAGATGTCTTCTCATCCCTCTTCATATCCAGGAGACCAGGCCGTAAGCCTTCTAGGGCCATTATTGTCAGCCCCAGACACAATATGTTCTGTTACCAGCCTCAAAAAACAGGCCTCAGATGCAACTTTTTATCATCCCTTTAGCTAGAGGGCAATGAATGCTCACAGCAGTCTCACCTATGTCTAACAGTAAATAATTAGATACAAAGCTTAAGGAAAATGTTTAAGGGTCTAAGAAAGTGTTTTAAGGTTGGTAAGTGGAAGTTATAAAGGCTGCATGGTCTAAGGTGATTTAAGGTATCCTAAATAGGTAAAAATGCTTAATATTTCCTTCTGTTGCTATGCTACTGTTATATTGTCTCTCCAGAGTTTTGACCTTTATCAATAGAGCTCAGATTTATTAATCTAAATCTAATACAAAAACATTCCACTATGCCACCCACTATCATGGTTCCAAGCTCAAGATTTTAAATCTCCTTTGGTTTGTCTTAAGTATGGAATTAAAAATTGTTTCTCATCATGCTAGACTTATGTACACACAAAACACCTCTCTTCCAGAATGTGTAATCATATTAAAGGTTAAGATCAAGTGAGCTTTTGCCCCTTCTACCTCATGAAAGGCTTCTGCCTTTCCAGAGCTCACCTTAAAGAATGTTTATGCTGTTAACACAAACGTGTATGTCTACTGCCTTTTCTACAATGTATATTTCACTGCAAATTACAACTGTAATGCTAACATGTCTAAAGTTTTATCTCCTTTGTAAAACTTAAAAGGGATTCTTGTAAGCTGCATGAAATCAACCTGAATCCATCTCTCAGGTCGATTGGGCTCCAGATAAGTACTGTACCTACTGCCTATCTCAGAAGGTGGGATTCCTCCCCTTTCCCTGGTTTTGGGACTTCCCTTTCCTGGCTACTTGTTACATTCCTATATCCAACACCAGCGGATTGGTGAGTCTTCCCTTCCGGTAGGCATCAACTCCTGGCTACCGATTGCTACATTTGTACACCCAACACCAGCCGATTGGTGACTCTTCACTTCTGGTTGGTGCAAACGCTTCCTGCCACTCTCACCAACCTACATCTAACCCTTTATTTAGGACCTCCTTCATCCTTGGGTAAGATTTTTTCCTCTACAGGCATGGTTGCTCTCCCTCCCCTTCTTGCTTGTCTACGAAAATCCTAGTTAGGTAAACCATGTCTTCTATAGGCAACTGTGCCCTTCGTCTCTGGCCAATGCTCAAGAGCTGTTGGAACAGATTGTACCATATTACTCTCCTGAATCAAACCTTGCTCTTGGGAAGCCTTGACAGGTCACTGACTCCTACCTGCCCAATGGGAATAGTCCATCCCTCTGTTCCTCCAGATTCTTCTCTGGGATGTCTTCTGGAGAATTTCAGGTTTCTACACCTAGGGCCAACTTTAATGTCCTCTAAGATTACACACTTCTGTAACCAAACTTGGCCTCAATTTCCTTAGATGACAGATCCAAAGCAAAGCCTTTTTAATTATTGCCAGTGATTGGGTAAATGGAAGTTCCCTCAGGTAAATGGAGGTTCCCATGTTCAAGTCTCTTCTTCCGTCTCTGTTTACTCTCCCAAATGTACACCTAAAGGAATTTTCTCCACAACCTACTTAACTTTGTCTTCTGCCCATATATATATATAATTTCAGTATCCTGCCAGACCCAGGTGTTTCCTACATCCATGACAGTGCCAAAGCAGCTACCACAGGTGTTCCAGTCTGACCTCACAGACTTCTGTCAAGCTTGACCTACACTTTCCCTCCCAGCCACGGATGTTCTCACAGACCCTGGACAGCATCAAAGCAGCCTGTTCTTCCAGGACTTGGCCAGCATTTCAGCCTTTTGACCTCCCTACAGCGCCCCCAGTGTCATCAGGAGGTAGCCAGAAGAGAATCTACGCCAGTTATTCACTTGTTAACAAAAGGCCGGAATGGCGTGCTTCAGGCCCAGGACAAGTAGCTCCAGTGTTCTCCCAGCATTCCTCAGTCCCTACCTGCTGCAGTGCGTGGCTGCCAACTCTACCCTGTACTCTGAACTTTCCAGGGCAGGGGCTTCCTCTCCTTCAACGTGTAGTCTGGACATTTTGTTGCTATTACTTTTTTCTCTCTCTTACCCCCTTGCATGGCAACCAAGAGCGGCTTCCAATGAGCCTACATTAACTTCCCTTACATGAAAGTAGCCCAAGCTCCTCATTTTTTAATTATAGAAAAAGGGAGGAATGTTAGTATTTAGGCAGCTGGCTTCTGGGTTGCCTAGCAACCTATGATGTCATCGTGTGTCACTGGCCAGGTAGCCACACCTGGCAGGCATGGTTCAGTCGTTCCATAAAAGGATCAACTTGCCACTTTGTCGTCCTCTTGACTTCTTGCTCTTGTACTCTCTTCCTCTCTGCTGCTCCCCTCTCTGTAGGGGTGCCCCTCCCCCCACCATGTCTTTCTCCTCTTTCTCTCTCTTACTCTGCCCAGAGACGGTCTCTGTGACCCCCCTCCTCCTCCCCTTATTAAAACCTCCCACGTGGAACCAAGCCCGTGGCCTGATTCACGAACCTGTCGTATAGCTCTACTGCACAATCCTAACAATGGGGTCGTATCAACTCGTCATAATCCCTTTGCGTGATCCAAACAGAGCACCTCTATGTGACCCAACGTGCACCGCATTTTAAGATCCGGAGCTGCAGCGGCGTGGCGTGAAGGGAAAAGTAGCACAGCGTGGCTGGGCTCAGGTGCGGAGGAACAGGAGCGGGAGAGAGTCGACCTGTGCACAGTAACCCGTGCCGCACAGTTTGCATCTTGCAGCGTGCACGCCGTGCCTTTGTGAAGAGACTGAGGGCACCGCAGAGGGAATCCCGACAGGCTTCCTCCGGAGTCCGAGCGGCCGTGCGGCCAGCGAGGGGCGGGACCTGCTCTCGGGGCGGCCGGGCCCGCGGCGCAGGCGCAGGCGCGCAGGCCCCCTCGGTGGAGGTCGGCCCCCGCTGACGTCAGGACGCCTCGGTCCTCGGAGCCTCCCCGCTCCGGAGTCCCTCGCGGGCCGGGGCTGCGCGTGCGGCCGGCTGAGCTGTTCGGGCCAACGGCGCCAGTTTGAATGAAAGCTCCGCAAGATGGCGGCGGCCGGAGCCCGGGCGCGGAGAGGGGCGGCTGGCGCGCGCTGTCACCCGCCGCCGGCTCCGCTCCGCAGGCCCAAGCCCCGGAGGACGACGACGTGGACGGGACGCCGCCGCGCGGACACCTCGGGCTCGGGACGCTCGCGGACGGCTGCGGGCCGGAGACGCGCCGGCCCCAGGGTCCCGCGGGCCCCGCTCCTCGCGGGCGTGTGTGCACGCGCGGCCTCTTTCAAGGGTGAGCGGGGAAGCGCGCGCGCCGCGGCGGCGGGCGAGCCGGGGGGACGGGGCTGAGCGCGGGGCGGAGGAAAGGGGCCCGGGCCCGCGGCGCCCCAGAGTCTCCCGGGGACGCGGGGTCGTCTCCGCGGACGCCGAGGCCCGGGCGCGCGGCGCGAGTGCTGCGCTCGAATCGCGCGCCCTTTGGAAGGGTGCCGTGCGGAGAGCGTTCTGGAAGGGAAAGGCGGCTCTCCGGCTTCGCGGCTTCGCGGCTTCGCTCCTCCGCTCCGCTCGCACGGTGACGCTTTAGTATCCCCGACTCCGCTTCCTCGAAGCGTGGCCGGGGGCGGGGTGGTGGAAGGGTTTTGTCAGCGGGGTGTTACAAGATTAGCCGGGCAACGAGGCGTTTTGCGCACATCCCTGTAGGCTGTGGGGTTTGGTGAAGCAAATGTTTGCAAGTTTTTTGTGGTTTTTTTTTTTTTTTTTTTTTTTTTTTAATACTCCAAAATGCGCAAAGCGGAGCATTTCTGTTGCGAGAAGTGCGTTGTAATAACACACGACACATAATGCTTCATTATGACGTTTTCATATGTATGTTTGAATATGTGTGTTGCTCATACTCAGCACCATTCTCCATTATAGGGTTGTGTTTTAGGATTCTCAGCTAGGGTCAAAAATTAAAAAAAAAAGAAGAAGAAGAAGAAGAAAAGAAAAGAAAACAGCAAACACCTTGGGCGAATAAACTAGAGAACTCTTCTTTGGAAATGATTAGCATAAGGAGATTAGCCTTAAACAAAACAGCCTTAAGATTTTTAAGTGGGATCGATTTATGAGACGTTTTTACAGCTTTCCTATCTCCAAACCACCACACCTAAGCAATCAATATATTCTGGCAAATCTGAGGAGAAGTCTTTGCCTTTTGCGCGTGCCAGAAATAGGAGTCCTTTGCAGTGACTGCAGTGGGGAACTGACAATGAAGCCCTCACTTGGGGAAGATGAGGAAGGGAGGTTGGGAAGTTAGGGCGGTTATTTTCTCCCTTCCCTGATGTTTACTTCAAAGTGTTTTTGCCTTGGAGAACTACTAAATATAATGTCATGGCTTAGTGATATATTTTGTTTGATCACCTGTTTTCACCAACGCTCACTTTTTTTCAGTGAATGTGATAGATTGAAGAAACTTCCTAGAGTTGTGTAGCTAGGTGGCCCACCAGCGGGTAGGGTGAGAGCTTTTGATCATCTAGTATTTCTGCTGATATTAGCCATTTGGTATGTCTGATTTTCAAATCTGGTTTGCGGATTGTTTATATTGAGTATTCCGTTTTGTAACTGCTGGCTTGAAAACAATGCAGGAAGTGAGTATTACAAAGGTCACTATGCTCTCCATTTAAAGTTGAATTCTCTGGTTAATGCATTTTGATAATACATTTCACCATGGGCAAAATAAATGAAGCTAAAATTTCTTGCAGAATTCCAAAATGGAAAAAATAGGATATGGATTGAACTACAAAACTATTTTTCAGATTTAAATTCCTATTGTCTGTTTAAAAGAAGTGAAAGGTTACTTTTAAATTGTGGTTGTTTTAGATATATTTTAGATATATCTCTAACAGTATGTTTTAGAGAGCTGTGTTTATTAAGAGAACAGGTATATTCTGTGTAGAATAAAATGGAACAGTAAAAAAAAAAATTACCTCTTTTTACCTTTGCATTTATATGTAATCCTAAGCAAGTTTAGATGTGAAAAAATTTAAGTAGCCAAGCAAGAATTAGCCATTGTGAGTAAAACAGTGGGATAGAAGTTCACAGGAAAGTAAACCAATTCACAAAAAATAGTTCTTTATCATATAACTTTTCCTTAAACACACATAATTGGCTTCTTGTCATATGTGTTTCTAGACTATAAAATTGTCAGTTGAGAGGGTTTTTTAAGTTTTTGTTTCAATCTAGTAGCTATTTTATTGGTAAAGAATTCTATTTTCTTATTGTAGCCTGGTGTGTGCCTTGCCTAGTTTCACTTGATACTCTTCAGGAATTATGTAGAAAAGAAAAGCTCACATGTAAATCGATTGGAATCACCAAAAGGAATCTAAACAATTATGAGGTGGAGTACTTGTGTGACTACAAGGTAGTAAAGGTAAGGCAATGTCTAGCCCCTTGAAAGAGACCTATTCACACTGCAGTGTTTCATGTTTCTCTAACTTAAAGAGAGCCTTAAATAAGCAAAGCTCTTAATGTTTAAGGTTGTAAGTCATAGATTTTTGTGCATTATCTTCGGTTTTGTCAAGTAACACTGAGAGGATTTTGACGCATAAAATACTCTTGCATTAGAGTATTTACGGTGTTTGTATCATTCTGCATCCGACTCTTGGTCACCTCCATATGGATTACCAAAGCGAGTGATTGACTTTTCTTATAATTCACATTGTTCCTGGATCATATTTCCCATAATCACCTGGAAGGAACCCAGGGTTCAAGCTAACTGTAGAGTTATTGAACATCCTCCAAAAGCATCATCATGTGTATTTCCTGCCATCCTGTCAAACTCGAATTGTTAGAAGTTATGGTGTGATAAAACGGGCTGGCTTTCATGGTCATTTCAAGCCATTGTTTCATATCTTACAGTTTCAGCAAACTGATTTAATTGCTCTGCACTTTTCTTTCTTTTTTTTCACCTTAAAATGAGTTGTTCTAAGAAGCTTTTTGATCTAAACCGTGTAATTATATTTTCAGTAATTGTAGCCTTCCTCTGAGAACTGTCCACTAATCTCAATTCTTGCAGATAAATAATCACATTATTTAAAATAATGTGATTTCTTCCCCATCTCTGATGAGCCCTTCATTAAGCCCCATTTCTTCCTGGGAAATGCCGTCTTCCTGTGGTAGGTAGCATTGCCCTGCCTGCACTGAGGTCTTGTGCAAGCGTTTCTTCCCGCACCCTCAGGACCCTACTCCTGAAAGAGCCTAATTGTTGCCATCTTGGTTTACAAGCCCTACACTGACCAGTCTGGCTGAGAGTATCATCTAATCATGTGCACTAGCTCCTCTAAGACATACCTCTAAACTGCGCCTGGTGGTGTAGACCTGTAATCCCAGCTACGAGCAAGGTAGAAATAGGCTCACAAATTCAAGCCTGTCCTGGGCCACTCAGACTCCTTAAAATGTATTTTTAAAAAGTTTTTGAAGGAAATTACAGCTCATTGGCTGAGTATTTGCCCAGCATGCACAAATCCCTCCTCAAACAACAACAACAACAACAAAAAACAAAACAGAAAACCAAACTTCTACTTTTCTAATATTGCTCTATTCTGCTTGACAAGATTTTTACCTGTTGCTTTGTTTTCTTATTCATACCAGTAGATTTCCCAGTGTTTATGACTGTTTTGGATCTTTTTCCTCTCCCCTTCTTGTATTCATCTGAAGACTTCTGCCCCTTCTACCTCCATGAGTATAAGCCTTTAACATTCAGTTTATCAGTTTATCTTCACTACTTATCTCTATCTTTAGTCTTACAAAGATTTCCCCAATTTTATCCCCTGTCTACTCCCCTAGGACTTTGCCTAAACTTGTGGTTTCTGTTTAATTAATTTAGACAGGGACTTTCTATGTAGTCCCAGGCTGGTCTTGAACTCACAGACATCATGTTTGAGCGTCTCCAGTTCAGGGATTACCTACACACACTGTATTCTTCAGCTTGGTGTCTTTTTAATATCAAGCTCAGTTCTCACTCATTTTAACAGTCAATATATATACTTGTATCTTCGCTGACCTTTAGATATATTCCTTTGGCCTCACTTCTGTAGTCACACAGCTATTTCTTTTATTTTTCTTCTACTTCGTTTTAAAAATTTTATTTTTCAAATCTTAGTATACTTAGAGATAGCCAATTTTAGAACATTACCTTAAAGAGAATCTCCAAGCGTAACCATTACTGCCCAAAATGTCAACTACGAACCCTAAGAAACTGCTAAATCTATTTTCTGCTTCTGTAGCATTATGAGGGCCTCCCCCTCCCTTCCTCTCTCCTCCAGCTCTGTGTTCCAGAGAAGGATCTCAGTTGTCCTGCTCTGTCACTTTGCCTGATTGCTTTGGGACCGGATCTCTAGCTGAACCTTGAGCTAGGCTGGTAGACAGCAAGCCTCAGCAGTCATCCTTTCTCTGTCCCCAACCGTGCTGAGATTACAGGTGCCTGGCTTTTTATGACCACTGGGATTTGAACTCAGTCAGGTCCTCCTCTTTGTGAATTAAGTGTTCTTACTTGCCCCATCTTATCCCAGTCCTCTTCATTGTACGTAAGAGAATAATACGTGTTTCTGAATGATTGGCTTCACTTACTTTGCATAATGGGTTTTGGTAAGTTTTGGAATATTAGAATTTAACTGAGAGCCTGTTCTGTACTGGGCAAGGGCTCTACCCCTGCATCATAGTCCCTAACCCTTGACTTTTCATTTTGAGATGAAGTCTTGCTAAAGTTGCCCAGGCTGGCCTTGAGCTCACTCCAAAGCCCACAAGGGTCTTGAACTTGGAATCCTGCTTGTTTTAGTCATCTGAGGAGCTGAGATTGCAAGTCAACACCACCACACCCACCTTTGAAATAACTTTTTGTTTTGTTTTGTTTTTCGAGACAGGTTTTTGTCTTTGTAGCCTTGGCTGTCCTGGAACTCACTCTGTATGTAGACCAGGCTGGCCTCAAACTCACATAGATCCACCTGCCTCTGCCTGTGCCTCTGCCTCCCGGATGCTGGGATTAAAAGCATGCACCACCACTGCCTGACCTGAAAGAATGTTTTTAAGGTTCATCTCTGTGGTAGTGGAATATCATACTTCTTCCCGTTCTGTTGCCAAATATGTTAAATTGTGTGGCTGCATCACATTTGTCATGGGACAGACAAATTTAAGTTGTTCCATCCAGGGACTATTATAGATAATGCTGTTAGGATGTTCACATGCAAGTTTCTGTATGGGTGTACTTTTCATTTCCCTTGGAGTGGAATTGTTAGGTTCTAAGCTATTTTTGGGAACTGTCAAATTTTTCCAGGGCTCCACACCATTTTGCTTCCACACCAGCAGTATAAGAGTTTCAGTTCCTATGTAGCTATCGCTGTGAGAAGTGCATCTCATTGTGGTTTTTATTTACATTTCTCTGGGGGTCCAACATCTTTTTATCATTCTCTTACTGGACATTTGTATTTGTTATTGTGAACTAATTATCTTTGCTCACTCTGAAAATACTTTATTTATTTATATTGTATGTGTAGCGTGCATGCATATGAGTGTGAGCACATCTGTGGGAACGTACGGAAGCTGGAGAAATACTGTCCATGTTTAAGACAGGGGATGCCTTCATTTAGGTTAAGTTGACTGGCCAGTTAACTCCCAGAATCTGCCTCTCTGTCCTCCCAATGCTAGAGTTAACAGGTCTACACAGCCATGCTCGGCTTTTTTTATGGGTACTGGAGATTTGAACTCAAGTCTTCAAGTGCCTTTCCCCGCTGAGCCATCTCTTTAGGCCTCCCCTCCCTTGCTCAGTTTTTTTTTTTAAAGATTTATTTAATTATGCATATGAGTGCTCTATCTGCATGTATGTCTGATTGACTAACGAGGCTACCAGATCCTATTATAGATGGTAGGAGCCACCATGTGGTTAATGGGAATTGAACTCAGGACCTCTGGAAGAGCAGCCAGGGCTCTTAATTACTGAGCCATCTCTCCAGCTCCCCCACACCTTCTCAGTTTTTAAAGTTGTTTTCTTTTAAATTGTTTACTTATAATTAGTTACATATTATTTATATAAATCCCTAGTCAGATACATGATTTGTAAAGAATTTTATTTTATCCTGTGGATTTTCTTTTTAATTTTTAACTTTTCACCCATTTCATTTCAATTTGTGTACCCTGTCACTGACCACGTGTTGTCAAGTTTGAACACCTTAAAGTTTTGTTGGTTCTCTTTCTTCTTGGAAACTCTCTTGTCCATGGAATATTGCCTATCATCTATTCTGTGATCATCAGCAACTTAGCATCTGTCTTCCACTTTCTTTATGAAGAATGGTAGTGATAGTAATCACCTTCTAGGGTGTAACTAATATTAAATGGATTAATATGGAAGGTATCCAGTAGATACTGATATTTAAGTTAGATGACATCAGTGTTTACTGTTATTGCTATTTATTTTTTAAATATTTTTAAGTATTTAATATATTTACACGTGTTCTTTTAAAATTATCTTTATTTTGCATAAAATATTTACTTATTTAACTATTTAATATTTTTACATATATTCTTATGTACATGTGCATGACCATGCAGGTGCCCATGGGGGCCAGAGGGTGTCAGGTACCCTGGAGGTGGATGTGGTTGTAAACGGGTGGTTAAGAGCCGCCTGATGTAGATACTCAGATGGATTTGAGATCCTCTGCAGGAGCAGCAAATGCTCTTAACTTACGAGCCATCTCTTTGTCTAGCCCCCTGTTGCTATTTCCTGTCACCACCACCACCCCCAACCTATTTTTTTAATGTTCTTCAGAATCTCTTTGCTTATTATCTCTCCCCTGAAATATAGATACATTACTGAGGGGCTGTTCTTGGTCACCTCGCTTTGCAGCTGCTCTCTAGGTAACCTTCCCGAGCAGGTTCTGTTGGAGATTTGGTCACTTGTAATAGTTAGTGAGACAGCTACTCAGAGCAGAGTGCAGTGTCTGTACAAAGAACTAACTTACAGTGAAGGTATGACTTGATGAAACAGAAGGCCCTAACTGGAGAGACTGGGCAGTCATCTAGGAGAAGCATGCTTTAACGTTAGTTTTAATGAATGAAATGATAAGGGGGCCAGATAGATCCTGATGCAGAAGACGGCTGGACGCTTTCAGGGAATAGAAGGTGTTAGTAGAGCCTGGCCCAAAGTTTAAGATGAAGCTAGAAGGATGGATAGGATCTAAAGCTTGCAACTCCTTACAGGCAGAAGGATTTCAGGTATCATCTTGGGGGACCTACAGAGCCGTGGAATAGTTTAAAGTGCAGGAGTGGCATGGTAAACCAGTAAGCAGCACCTCTCCAGCCTCTGCAGCAGTGCCTGACTGCAGAGCATATAACTGGGTTTGCCACACTCAGATGGTGGCGCAAAACTCCTCTAACTCC